TCCATGACTTGATCTCACTTCTCTTTAAACTCTGTTCTAGTTGTAGCCTTCACAGCCTCCTGCAGAGTCTAGTTCCACAGGTTGACTCTTTGCTTTGTTTGTGGAAACAGAGCCTTGTACATTTTTTATAAATAAACAGGACTTGTCTACATCAGTTGTTGCTCCTCCTAACCACATCAACCTGTAATACCCCAAAATAATTGGCTTGTTGCTCAGGTCAAAAAGGCTAACTATTACATGTTGAACCTCTAGTCCAGCATTGTCTGGTCCAGGAACATCCATGGTCCATCATGATTTTAGTTAGCTGAATGTCCACTTCTCATGGGTGTGACTAAGTTTCCCATGGTCCCATAAAGTTTGTTTACAGCCAGCAGTCCTGGCTCTCAGTGTTCTGTGCTATCATTTAGCTCTAATTTACCCCTAGACGTCTTCTAAAAGCCCAGTAAGCAGTGGAAGTGTTGGTAATGCTGACACCCCCCCGATGGCAGCCATTGGCAAGTGCAACCGGTCTGATGGCCGAGTGCTGTGATGTGCTGAGTGTGGGCACTCAGGGCACTCCAAGCCAGGATTGCTTTGCAAGCGGGGAACCCCTGAGAACTGTCTGTCCGGGTGGGAGTCGGGACCCTTTAAGCACAGCCCTCGGCTAGCCTGAGACAGCAGCTCCACGCTCTAAGTCCTCCTCTGATGCCCTGCCGGCACTGCTTCCGGCCATCCTTAACCTCGGTTCAGGGTCCACTCAATGTGGACATGCTAGTTCGAATTAGCAAAATGCTAATTCGAACTAGTTTTTAGGTCTAGATGCACTAATTTGAATTAGCTTAGTTCGAATTAACTAATTAACTAAGTTAGTTCGAATTAGTGCTGTAGTGTAGACATACCCTAACCTGGTCACTGGTATTAACAAATTTCCGAAACACTGAGCTAGACCACAGAGAGCGCTTAAAAGCCCAGTAGTGACAAAGGCTAAGAACTTTCAAAATCTCAATCAGCATTGTGCCAGACCATGGATGGCTTGACAGGGCAGAAATGCCTACACCAAATGGTTAAGACAGAATCAAAGACTATAGGGCTCGTGTATCTACAGTTTATGCTACAGCTTTAATGCAAGTAAACTGGATGTTCCCAAAATAACAAATCTTAGCCTTCTCTAGGAACTGAAGGACTAAGAGCTCCACTATTTTAATTTTAATACTCAGATTGATATAAGGAGCTTTCAGTGGAATTATGCTTATTTACATTAGCTGAAAATCTGACTTAGACAGTCCAGTGACTGGAGAAACAACTGGTCTCAATCTTTTCCTTAGCTGGACTCACCTTTTCTATACTGGAGTTCTTTTTCAAGGATCCACCAAACATCAAGCAAAATCTAGTCAGTCCCTTCCCATATTTATCAATATGGGAAGAACAGGGTGGTTATAACACTCAACACCTGTTCATAAGCCTCCTCTTGAAGCTGAGAACTCCTGAGCCAAAGAATCATGGCAGCTCTTCCATTCTCACTGATAGCTCATACAGAGCCTTCTACATTTGAACGTGTCTGGCTGAAAGTAGAGATGATTAATGTATTATCTATTATGTATTCCCATATCTTTTTGTGAAATACCATGTGATTATAACTTGCATGAGAGCATCTTGCAGGCACATGGAAAAGAAACCTCTGTTAATGGGGCAACTCTTTTTGTTTTATGATTGAAATTCATTGGAATAAGAGTTTAAAAGTTCAATTTAATCTCATTATTACTGTGTTTATATTCCACTTAGGAAAACTGTGAGAAAAGGAGTGGAGAAGGGAGAGAGAAAATACATAGGACATCTATTTGTGCCAGATTAGCTTTTGGAGGCCTCTTTTATCAACTGAACATATCACGCTTCCTTTTATAATTCAAAAACTCTTTGCTTGTTTTTAACTGAATCACTCTTGAGAAAATTAATAGGCTTTAATTGCTAAAGGGAAAAAGTCAAATATTTCAACTAATTTTGCATACCTGAAAATTACTCTGAGAAGTGTGCCAAATCTCAAATACCATAAGATTTCCCCAAATCTTTGTATAACAATGCAATATTCATTGTCAAAAAACTATGGTAAGACAGAGATAAGATGTTGGTGATATGTCATGCCTTCCAGAACAGTGAACTGAGCAAAGCTCAAGCTTCTGAAAACCAGGACAGATACAGTTAAAGTTGACCACACAACGTTAACTCTGCTCTGTATCAGCAAAGACCTGTTAACACACATATTTTTATTCTGCCAACCCAACATCTAATAAACAAATTCTTTACCTCTTTTTACAACCCTTTCATTGGCATCCACAGGTTTCCATCTAAAATTATTAATGGACAAAACAGGGGCCAGAAATGTTGTCTAGGCTTTTCAGGATTACATTTTCAAACAAGACTTACGGCCTAAATCTATTTTATTTTAAATTCAAAGGGAATCAGACACCAAAATATCTTAGTGGTCCTGGTTGCTAGGCACTTAGGAAGATGTATCTCATTGAAATCACTGAGACTCCAAAGTCACTTGGTATAAAATTTTCAAAAGTACCTAAATTTATATGTGAAATTCTTAATTGTGTAATAGAGCAATACTGGGTTTTACACGGTGTTAAGGGCAGCTGGATTCTGAGGTATTTTATTAAACATACCCATCACCATAATAACATCAAAGTAAAGATTGGGTTTGACTTTTATACATTGATATTTTTGTTGTGCAGAGACCATACTAATACAAGAGAACACAATCCACTTCTCCTTTCCAATGGCTATAGTTTTTTTTGCAAGAGAACACTGACACAGAAGATTTACCCCCTTCTTCAGATACAGTCCATTTGGTGTCCAAGATCCAATCAAAGCAGGTCAATCATGATTAATTGTTCTTGCTCCATCCCACCATAAAGACTATTACATAATACTGAATAGATTGGATCTGGACCACACAGAGGTCTCCCCCTCTCATTATTGATGCACCTGACAAGAAAAAAAATCATGTATCCACACTGGACCCTCTTTTGTCCTAAAATAACTGGTATTTTCAGCACCCTTACTAATTATGCCTGTACCTTCAGATCCCATGGGCATTTCATCAAGACATACTCCAATGTGTCCTGCGTCCCATCTTCAGCCTAGTTTTTGCAAGGTTTTCTGTATTCCCTACCACTCTCCCCCTGGCAAGCCTCCAACACATTTCTTTATATTTAAAACTGGCGCTCTGGACCTATTGAAGCCTCAAAG